CCAAGACCCGCCGGGTTGATTCAAGTCGCCTTGGAAGAGAAGAGGGAAGAGGAAAAGAAGACGAGGAAACTTCCGTTGACGTTTTATTAGAAGACGAGACACTTTGGAGATGCTTCCCCCCCCCCTCTCGGACTAAACTAGTGTGGGAGCTAAAAGATACAGAGAAGAGCAAAGTTGTCATCCCTGCCCCGAGAGTAGGGAACCGGGGGGGCAGGCAGAAGGCGATGCTGAGAGCCAAAGACTGTAAGTCGGTCGACCCCGGGTACAACACCAACACGAGGCGAGGCGAGGCGGTGCTAATTAGGCTGCTGCGCACGTATCGGCATACTGGGGGGAGGAGGGGGAGAGTACATTGGTTACACGGCTCGAGAATCAAGGGCCACAACGCGGAGGCACGACGACGACGACGACGATGGACTGTCCCGGATCCCTGGGATTCGGTTCCGGCAAGTTGGGCCTCTTTAGCTTCGCATTAGCATGTTTGGTCTTTTTTTTTTTTGGCTGATTAGCCGAGCTAGTTGGGCATGGGGTGTCCAGGCTACAGTGAATTATTCTTTTTCCTGTTTCTTTTTTTTTCTTGTAATACAATATGGACGGGATTGTGTAGCCAGGCGAAAAAGGCACAGTGCCCAACAATGTTGTGAAGCTTTGGGCGCGCTTTTTCGGGAACCTTTGACGTATGTATTACGCCCCCCCGTTGTACGAGTTTATCGGGGGGAATCAACGTCACCAATCGCGCAATCAAGAAACCGTTGTGTCCCATGAGAATGTGAAAAAAAAAAAAAAGCCACGTTGCCAGGAAACACAAGAAGCTACCAAGTTACTTGACCGGGGTTTGTGAAACCAAAAGCGCTCATCAAAAAAGCCATCATGCACACTTTCTGCAAGGCCCTGCCCAAGGAAAAGGTTGCGGGACACGAAAACCATCAGGTCGGGTCGCCGGACCAGGGGACACCCACGTCGTCGGGACGTACGACAAGCGGTAATTAAGAAATAATTGGAATCCTATTTTTTGCGCGTATGAAAAAAAATGACAAGAAAGGTCGCGAAAGCCAGTTGAATCGCATATCAGTGGGTGGCCGGACTGGGGAAACACAAGGGTCCGAAAACCACCCGCTAGAAGACGTGAGCCGAACGAGATCAACGGTCTTAGTCATGCCAATACGATTTGGCGGTCAAAAAGCGATGACAAGGTGGTTTTTTCCTTCCTTTTTTGACTCTGGAATCCTGGTCATGAGCCGTCTACTGGCTAGGTGTGACCAAGGACACATTTCACATGCTTCAACGTCAAGCCACTTTTTTTGTTTCCCCAGGCTACACAGAATAACTACTCCGGAGTAATAAAAGTCGTTTTTTTCTTTTTCTTTTGGATTGCCGGCCGACTGCGGAGGCGAGAAGGGGGCAACTCAAGGACGACCAGGTCGGTGTGTGTGTGACGTTGGCGTGATCTGGCCCGCGAGGGGTCCGTGGTTTACTTTCTTTCTAGAACGAAAAAATGCGGCAGATGGGCTGGGGACTAGTAAATGCGGTGAGACATTGTTGCTTTGTCGATGGTTCCTGCAGCCTCTTTAGCATACGAATCATGGTATTTCTATCCCATCCGGCAGTCAAAGTGGCTAGTGTGCTCGGACTTTGTAACCACCCCCATCTCGATATCTTTTCGTCGGGTTGCTTTTTTTTCTTCTTCTTTCCCTGGTTTCTAGTTTCAGCTCAGGCTTTGCCACCTGTACGGAACATGGGATACCGAAATGGAAGGTCGTTTTTTTTTCTTTTGAGACATTGCGTTTGCTTTGGGGGGGGGGGGCACAAGAGGTTCAACGACCCCCCAGTCGCTGTCAATCCCGTGATCTTTGGCTAATGCGAGGCCGGAGGGGCTGCGCCACTACTGTACATATTACTACCTGAGGGGGAGGAGGGATGATGGATCGGTGCCGGTGCCGGAAATGTTGACAGGTCGAATTAAAAAAAAAAAAAAAAAAAAAAAGAAGAGAAGGAAACAGAGAAAAAAGCAAGTTTGTTTTTTACAGAAGCCGACTGGTCGAAAATAAAGACGTTCGGAATCTTGGCATGCAACGAGGCGTTTTTTCTTCGTTGGTGACACGATGCCAATATTGACGTGGTGTGACGACCTACGTACGTTGAGGTGGTGTGTCTACTTAATGCGGTGTGCCTACTTGATGTGGCATGCCTACGTTGACGTGTGTCCAGAAAACTTGACGACCGGGGCCTCCGTGACGGCGAAACTCCATTTCGAGATATGGTCGAAGTGGCTGAAACAGGAACAGCGACTTTGATCATCTTCACCTGAAGCTCGGTGCCTGAGCTTGGCGTTGACATCCACCAGGCTGCAGCCAGCCGTGCGCCGAGCCTGACGTGCGTGCGACAGAGGTATCACCAAGTACAGCAAATGGTGCGCCTAGACAGATCCAAGCACGAAGATGGAGCAAGAAAAGGTAACGTTATGGAGGCATGTATTGACCAATTTTGCTATTTTTCCTGCGCTAATCGGACCACCAGCCAACCAAGGTACTGCCTCTCACGAACTCAAACTGTGACCTTGCCCCGGCTCCTGCAGCTGCCGATGAGATATTCGGGCCTGGCTTCGTCATATTTGTCGAGCGGCGTAGTTACACGTTCATCGACATGCCGCTGATGAGAAACTCCTTGTCCGACTGCGACCATGGCCTGGCTGCGACGGACATGAGATACCTCTGACTCACGCCATGTGCGGATTTGCATCGACAACATACATCAAGCTACCATACCTCAACGCTGCGTTTTCGAAGCATGTCACCAGAGCAACAGGTCGACCAGTCTCCTACTCCTTGCGGCACACAACCTCGACATTGTTGCCCATTGGGTCCGTCACAAACGCCGCATAGTAGTGCGGTCCAAAGTGTGGCCGCGGGCCCGGCGCTCCATTATCCTGGCCGCCCGACGCCAACGCCCTGGCATAAAACTCGTCGACTTTGCTGCGCTCTATGTACCAACATCCCCCGCCGGTCTTCCTTAGCCAACACGAATCCAGGCCAAACGCTCGGGGGGGGGGAGTCGCTCACCGTCGGCAGCAAACGCCCAGTGCGCATAGTTCTTGTCCACCGCGGACTCGGCCATGCCGGACAGCCAGAAATTCGCCTTGTTGGCCAGAGGGCTGGTCTTGTCCCCCAGGCCCACGAGCTTGTCGTCAAACAGGGACACGAGCTTCTCGTAGCCGAGCGGCGCGAGGGCCGCGAGGTAGAAAGCGACGACGGCGGGGTACTTGTCCTGCGGCACGGAGAGCGCGAGGTGGTCAAACATGGTGCGAGAGTTGGGTGAAAAAAGTTGCGGTGTCGATGGTTGTGGGCAGGAGGATGGATTCAGTGGCGAGGTATATATCCTGGTCGTTTTGCTTTCAATTCGGTCTTCGAAAACGAGCACGTCCGAGGTGAGAAAGAGGCGTCGGCTGGTGTAAGAGCTAGTTCACGCCAAAGTTCACGACCAACGCCGCGATGACGTATGGCGGTGCGAAAGCTGGCGGTCTGGTGAATAACTGCATGCGGTGATGGAATGCACTTCATAACAGAAATACTGTCGTCCTTGTGCCGATAGTTGATGCCGGTGTCATGTACGTACGTGTCTGTCCAGGGTGGCACACGGAATGCAGCGCTCAACAATTCGGACTCGAACTTCTTTTCGAAAAAAAAAAAAGATTAAATCATGCTGCTACATTTCGTTTTGTACATCAGACGAAATCTCAGGCAGCTAGATGAATTTGCGAATCAAGTGCCTATCAGCCCTGTCTGCAAACTGCTCCAAATGATCGTATCGCTCGCTCAGAGGCGACCTCTTGTCCGCATTCTCTACGGCCAAAATCACCGTATATTCTTCCTCGCCCTCCTTTGCGTCCACTTTCCACCCACCGACCACGTGTCCCTCAGCACCTCCAGCTTCTCCCGCCGTAGCTTTGGTCCGTTGTTGATCAAACTGGTCCCTCGCCTCCGTCTTCATGATGAACCGATGCACCTCCAAGACCACCGCGCCCGGCCGCAGACGATCCAGCAAAAAGTCGTAGTGCGCCATCCACTGGAAGGAAAAACAGCTGCCCATTTCCGCGACGCCCTTTTTCCACTCGTCAGAGCCGTGCATGCCCTGGTAGTGCGACTCGAGCGACGCCCACTGGCCCAGCAGGTACAGCAGGGACGGGTCCTCGACTTGGCGAAAGTAGTGAAACGGGTGGCCGGTAAAGGCGCTGAGATGGGACTGCACATCTGTCAACCGTTTTTGGAGGTCGGGGTCCGAGAGGGATGCGGTTGGCTTGAGCCGCAGCAGCCCTATCTCGGAGATGGGCATCGGGACCATTGTAGCTATGGCTGGACGACTCGCTTTGGAATCTGAAAGGCCAGGAAATGAATGGTTGGTACCGCAAGGGGAGGACTTGGCGTGCGTGTTGCTGCTTTTATACCATTTTTCAGTCGTGGTTTGAAATCATGGCGATGATGACTTCGGAGAATTGTCAAGTCCGACATAAGTCTGCATTTCGAGGCTAACGAGCGCGTCACCAGCAGGAAGCGCCGAAAGTAGAAGTGACACATCTCGATTGCACCCTAATTTTCGATCTGGCCTACCATGGTCGATATACCGCTGTCCTTGTTTCAACGCGGGTTGTTAGTTCTACGGTGACAAAGAGGCGGCAGCTACAGAGCGCCTTTGTCCTTTGACGGCGGCGTCAGCCGAAGTGACCTGCCGCTTGTCTAACGATTCTGGGCTTTGTTTTCCCCATCACACCCTTCTTCATCCCGAGACACAAGGCATTGCACTCCTGGCGTAAGCTGAAATGCCAAACCGTGTGCGCTTACCAGGGCTTCTGTTCCTGAGAAAAGAGCTTGTTGAGACCAGGCTGCGGAAATAGACGACGTGATGTTTCGGCGTGTTGTGTGGCCATCGCGGCCATGCCTCGTCAACAAACCGGAAAACGGCGTCGTTGCTCGTCATCACTTGGACGCCGTTATATCCGCCCACCGAATTCAAAAAGGACCTAGTTAAAGTCTTCATGACGGCAGGCGATTTCTCATCATGTTTGCCTTGTCGCACTGCGCCCCACAGGCTAGGAGATTAGTAATAGCGCCTTCGTAGTTCGGCTCGGAATATATATAACCCGCTCCGGGCACGAGAACACGCCACTCATTTGTCCACTGCGCTTGCTTTCTTCTCCTCATTCCATCCTCATCCACCACACTCTGTACCTCGTCATCCTCGTTTCATCAATCGAACTGCGTAGCTGCCAGATACGGCACGCCTAACAACTTCTACATCTTTTCACTCTCCCATTCGGACGCTTTTCCGTAGCCTTTTCGATTCCCACGTGCGGTCCTTCCCCACTCGCAGACTCCGCGTTTACCGAAACGTCGCTCGACTTTGCTGCGTCTCCTGAACCAGCCCATGTCAATTTTCCATCAGTGCACAATTTGATAGATCCTGGAGATTAGCTAACAAGGTTGTTCGCTGGTACCAGCGTTTTCGTGGTTGCTTAATAGTGCGGAGGAATTTGGGACTCTACGTTTTCCTACTGGCCTCGGCCACGTGTACTGATCGTCGCTCCCATTCTCCCTTTTCATCTGTCTTTTTTTCTCAAGTACAATCAATTTATTATTTCCATTTGACCTGCAAAGGCGATTGAGTGCAAGAAAGGAACATTCAACGAAGCAAAAAAAAAGTCAATTCCTTGCAACAAAGAAAAACTGATCTCGGTGCGGAGAACGGACCATAGTCATTTCTGAACAGACTACGACAACTTCGTCTTGCAAGGTAACTTGATTTCGAAATCAAGTTCTTGGACACCGCAAAAATGGCTTCTTCGGTCTTCTTCAAATTCAAGTCACAAAAGGAGCCCACGAGGGTAGAATTCGATGGTACTGGAATCTCAGTGTTCGAACTCAAACGCGAGATCATCATCAAGAGTGGCCTGGGAGACGGTACGGATTTTGACCTCTTGATTTACACAGACGACAACAGTGAGGGTAAGTCGATCCAGTTCTCTTTCCGTAAGCAGGAGGTTAACCCGAACTAGTTTATGATGATGACACGACCATCATTCCTCGATCGACAACCGTCATCGCCCGACGTCAGCCTGCGGCGAAGCCTGGCGCAGGCAGGGCAGCTCGATATGTCACCGGCAAGATGCCCGTCGCGGCTAAAAATGCTGGACGGAAAGAGCAGACTGCCAAAGCCCCGGCATCAAAGACATCGGGCGCTGCCCTTAGCCAAATGAATAATGCCATGACGGAAGAGGAAAAGATGGCTGCCATGTTTGCCGCTCAGACGGAACAATGGTCAGCCCAACAGGAGGAGCTGTCTCAGTAAGTTGAACCCGATCTTCCACGAGACAACCCATGCTAACAATCTACAGCCAAGCGCCTGTCTTCAAACCCGGTGCTAAACGACCAGTCAATGTGCCTGATCATGAGCCGCCAAACGGATATATCTGCTACCGGTGTGGCAATAAGGGCCACTGGATCCAAAGCTGTCCCACAAATGACGACCCTGAGTTTGATAACAGACCTCGAGTGAAGCGTACCACTGGTATTCCTCGCTCATTTCTGCAGAAGGTTGATAAATCGGACATTCTGGCTCAATCAGAAGGGGACGATTCCAAGAGACCATCCGGTATCATGGTGAATGCCGAGGGCGACTTTGTCATTGCAGAGCCCGATAAGGCATCATGGGAAAAATACCAGGCCAAAGCTGCCAAGTCAGCTTCGGCATTCAAGGACAATGAGTCGGCCGACAAGGAAACTCAGAGCCTCGGATTGGAGTGTTCTATTGATAAGAGGATGTTCATAGACCCAACGAAAACGCCCTGTTGCCAAAAGACGTTCTGTAACGACTGCATCAGCAATGCTCTTATGGACAGTGACTTCGTCTGCCCTGCTTGCAAGACAGAAGGCGTTCTTCTGGATGACTTGCAACCTGATGAGGAAACCTCGAAAAAGATTCGAGAATATTTAAAGGAAAAGGAAGCTGCTAAAGCGAATCCACCGGCCGCCGCCTCACCTAAGATGGAGGTCAAGGTCGATGAAACGGAAGCAGACGCCACCTCAGCCGATCTTGGAGTAAATGGAACGCCCAATGATACGCAAGCTAAGCAAGAGTCTCATAATGCCGAACAATCAGAGGTCAAGGCAGAATCGCCATCATCTGAGAAATCGAAGTCGCCAAAGCCAGCAGAAACAGATTCCGAACAGTCCCAGGAGACCAAACCCGACAACAAAGATGCTGCTCTTTCAAAGAAGCGACCCGCCGACGAGCTCCTGGAGAACCCGAAAATCCCCAAAGGACCTCGTGCTATGCAGAACCAACCGAACATCAACCCTATGATGAATGGTGGCATGCACGGCATGCACGCAATGACTGGCATGACCGGTATGGATGGTATGAATGGCATGAACAACATGAACGGCATGGACATGAACATGATGTTCAATGGCATGGGAATGATGCCAAATATGATGGGTATGCCAAACATGCCCAACATGAATATGATGAACATGGGCATGGGGATGCCCAATATGGCGATGGGGATGGGGGGAATGCCTAACATGATGGGTATGCCCGGGTTCAACGGCATGAATAACGGCTTTGGCGACGGCGGTTGGGGAATGAACGGGATGGGTAACATGGGCAACATGGGCATGGGAGGAAATATGGGAGGAAATATGGGCCCCATGAATGGTATGAACGGTGGCTTCCATAATGGCGGCAACGGCATGCATTATCAAGGCGGCAACGTGGGAGGCGACGACGACGCTTATATGCGCAAGCCTATGAACCCGTATCGGCAGCAGAACAAGCAGCGTCGCGTACGCCCGAGCGACTACAGGGAGCTCTAGAGCAGCTGCTGAGTCTGCGATTCCGTTGAAACAAGGCGTTTGGTTTATTTGGTGATGACCACAAACTCACAGAAACTCAGATATATACATCAGCACATTTGGAGGAGCACGGCGTTTTTCGGAGGACTTTTTGGATGGGCTAGCGGAGCGAGAGTGGTACGTGGTGTGCTAGCTCGCGGTTTGCTTTCTGATGGGAGGCTACTGTGTATCAATACAAGTTTATCATTACGGCACAAGAGGTGAACATTACTCTGGAGGCCTGTACTCTTTTGAAACTGAAAAGACTACGAGTAACAAACTTGCGAATAGAAATGATGAACTTCACAGTTCAGTGCTCTCTTTTGCTTTGCGTATAGTTTACTGTAGTTTAATTGACTTGTTCTATCAACCTCTACCAACGCTCTGTGATGGCCTTTTCTCTCATAAACCCCTCTTTTTTATTCTTGTCATTAACCGCCCCAGTGTCAGTCATGTCAACTCCAAAGAAAAGAACCCCTTCTACTTCTACATTCAAAATCAAGTTCATATAGTCATGTGTCCCAATGGCAAGCAGCGGCGGCGTCCATCTACTGAGGCGGAACATAGGGATGGACGAGCATGTCGCTAAATCGTTCCAGCTTTTCCTTGCCGCGGACTTCCTCGACGAGCAGCGGCATCTTGACGACGTTGAAGTCCTCTGCGTAGAGCTCCTCGTACTGGTCGAGGTACTTTGTCTGCATCTTGCGGCGGGCGGTGCACTGGTCGCAGCCGGAGCCGGGCTTGGGGAAGAGCAGCTGGTTGACGACAATGGTGTGGGTGTCGATGCCGTAGCCGGTGAGCTCCTGGATCATGCGCTCCGTCTCGTAGAGGCTGAGGAACTCGGCGATGCAGACGCAGACAAAGGTGGTGAGGTCCGGGTCCTTGAACTGGGTGTTGACCTCGGAGATGGTCTCGCGCAGGGACTCGAGCTTCTCCATCATGTCGGTGAGGCTCTGGCCGTTGGGCAGCTGGCCGCCGGCGCCCAGGAAGCCGCTGAGCAGCGGGCCGTACTGCGAGGAGAGCTGGGAGACCTTGGCGAGCGCCTTTTCGAGGACCGTGGGGAACTGGAGGAAGCGCAGCGTGTGGCCGGTGGGCGCCGTGTCGAAGACGATGGTCTCGTACGAGAGGGACTTGACCTGCTTGAGGACCTCGGCAAAGGACATGGCCTCGTCGATGCCAGGGATCTAAGACGGACGAAGAAGAAGGACGAGTCAGCACGGGGATTGGGGGGTCCACGAGGAGGAAAGGAGGGGGAGAGGCGCGTACAGCAAAGGCCAGATCCTGCATCATGCCGCCCATGCCGGCGGCCATGTTGGCGTTGACGTCGTCGTGCTCGGCCTGGCCGGCCAGCAGGTCCTGCATGCTGCCGTTGGGGTCAATCTCCATGGCGCTGAGGTTGTCGAAGCCGTGGACGAGACGGGCCTCCTTGCCAAACTTTTGCGCAAAGGCGTCGGACAGGTTGTGGGCGGGGTCGGTCGAGATGAGCAGCACGGAGCGGCGGACCTTGGCGAGCTGGATGGCGAGCGAGCACGACGTCGTCGTCTTGCCCACGCCGCCCTTGCCGCCCACAAAGATCCAGCGCAGCGAGCGCTGGTCGAGCAGCGACTGCAGCGACGGCTCGAGCGCGTCGTCGGCCGAGATGATGGCGGCGGAGGAGGCCATGGTTGCTTTGCGGGGGGGGGGGGAGCGGACGGAGAAGGCGCGGGGAAGAAAAAAATGAGTCGGGGAGTCGTGGGTAGAGAGGAGGAAGACGAAGGAGGCGGGAAGAGAGAAAGGGAGACCGCGGGAAGAACAAGGTGGGAGAGGTCGGTGGAAAGTGGCCAAGTTGAGGTGTCCAAGCTGCGTGACGTTTTGTAGAGGGGCGGCAGGTTTGGTGGCGGCGGGTGCCTTGCGTTGCCGCCTTTTGCTCCTCTAGATGAACGCTACCAAAATTACAACTTGAAAAATCATCTAAAAACTTATATAATTGTAATAAATTATAATTAAATTCTGCGTATAAATTCTTTTTATTCACTTCACAGAATACCTCTCCTGTGTCGAATTGTCGGGAGTTTACGTCATACACCAAGGTCTTGATTGCTCACAGCCAAAATAATTCATTCAAATTATCCAACCAAAATCAAAGAAAACACCTATTCAGAAAAGAAACTCCTCATTACGCGCTGTAAGCAACTAATGGTCCCAAGCCAAAAGAGAGCAAGCCGAAAAGAGAACAAGCCGAAAAGAAAACAAGCCAAAGAGAAAACAAGCCAAAGAGAAAACAAGCCAAAATAAAACAATCTAGGAGAAGACAATCCAAGGAGAAGACAATCCAAAAGAAAACAAGACGAAAAGACAACAAGCCCGAGTTTTCAAATCACCCCCACGATCCAGTATCCAATGTTAGCATCAGGCGCCAAGTCCCAAGCATTCTGTTGCCGGCCGGTCGCCGCCTTAGCCTCTCTAAGCCTTTGGCGGCGAATAGACCCCAGTCTGGGAGCTCTTGCAGCGCGTAGAGGTGGCGGTAAACTGGGATGACGTGAGCGAAGGAAACGACGAGGACGACGACGCCTGGATGAGGGTGGACGAGTTGGTGGCGAGGGCGAGCGAGGCGCTCTTCAGACTGCTGAGGGAAGCCGCCCTGGCAATGGAAGCGTTCTGTTTTTTCTCCCATTTGCTATACATGTTCCGCAGGTCGTCCGATGGCCATGTCGTTCTCGGCGGGAGCGGCGCCGTCAAGGAACCTCCCCTTTCTACCACGCACTTGATCCGTAGTTAGCATGGACAGATCAACTTTGCCGTTTTTTTTTTTGCAAAAGAGGAAACAAAGAGAAGAGAGTGAGCTTACAAAACTGCCACACTTGTACATGACGTGGCCCGGCCACTGCTTGGGAGTTCTGTCGCTCGAGACACAGGCCCAGTCCAGGCACCACTGACAAACGTCCTCGCCGGGGATGGGCCGCCACGGCTTCATCTTTTCCATGGAGAAGCCGCAGTCGTACTTTCCGCCCTTCAATGTGCGGATCGGAAGGCTGGTCCAGCTGAAGAGGGGCTTGGTCTTCTTGGTCTTGGGCTTCTTGGTCTTGGGCTTCTTCGTCGTCGGGCCCGTGGTCGTGAGCCCGGTCGTCGTGAGCCCGCTCGTCGTCGTGGGCGCCGTCGTCATCATGGAGGTGGAATTCGTCACCACCGGCCCGCCGATGGCCAGAGTGGCAGAGAGAGCTGCAGTGAGAGCTGTGAGGGCAGTATTGAACTTCATGATGAGGGAAGGGAGGGGGGGGGGGGGGTTGACTGGTTGAGATAGGTTTCTGAGAGGAGAAAAGACGAGGAGGGAAAAGATGGAGAAATAGAAAGAGGGAAAAAAAGGTACTGGCCCAGCCCTTTTTATATGCATAGAGGTTGCCTACGGGGCTACTGGATAATAAATATTATTTAAGCTCTTGCCGGCGTGGCGCGTGTTGTTGGTTCGAGAATGGCATTAGTGCGAGTATATTTGTTCTCTTTAATAATTAGGGCCGCCCCGACAAGACGCCGTCTGGACACTACGCAAGGAGTTCTTCGAAAGTACCGCCGAGTGGCATTCGCAGCAAGCTCGAGGGCAACTCGTCGTGGCGCGATACTCCTCCTCTACACGGCGACAGAGCTAAGCGCGGCTCGTGAGGCAAGCTACTCGGTACCAAGACCCCGTTGGCGCAGAGTCATGAATCACTCGAGGAATATTTCCTTCAAAGAAGCGCCGCCTCCCAACAAGGTGGCGAAAATGATTTCGCGCGCGTGCGATACGGTGGCCTCTGCAACGAATGCCTGGTTTTCGGCGCTTGTGGCAACACTAAAAGGACACGCGCGTGGAGAAGGAAAGGAAGTCCTCCAAGGCTTCTTCGTATATATATATATATATATATATATATATATATATATATATACGAAG